TGTGCCCCCGCCCCACCCCCTCCCCTCCCCCCCCCCCCCCTCCCCTCCCCTTCTGTGCTGCCTCTGATAGAGAGGCAGCAAGGGGGGACTGCATATAGTCATTAGGATTAACTGATAAGCCTGAGCAACAAGAGCGGGGGAGAAGAGGGAACACTTCAAAGTGGCAGCTCCACTTGGAGCCTGGGCCAGACCCCAAGCTCCACATGGCATTTCAAAGCAGCAGTGCTGCATGGAGCCTGGAGTCAATGGGTGAGTCCCCAGCTGATCCTGGGCTCCACGCTGCCCTGCCACTTTGAAATGCTGTGTGCAGCCTGGGGACACCCTAGCTGCCACTTTGAAGTACCCCCTCCTCATCTCCTCTCTTCTCCCCCCCCCCACTTCCTCTATCAGAAAGAGACAGCAAGGGAGGGAGAGAAGCAACCAGTTGACTAGCATGACAACTATCCAATAAGCATTTGCTTATCAGATAAAAACTAGTTGACTCACATCCCTAGTTCAGGAAGGTACTGTTTCCACACCAGCAGAAAAACTCCTTCTGTAGGTGTATGATGCATCCACACTAGAGGGTTATCATAGAATACTAGGACTGGAATGGACCTCGAGAGGTCATCGAGTCCAGTCCCCTACCCCCATGGCAGGACCAAATACTGTCTAGACCATCCCTGATAGACATTTATCTAACCTACTCTTAAATATATCCAGAGATCCCTGGGCAATTTATTCCAGTGTTTAACCGCCCTGACAGTTAGGAACTTTTTCCTAATGTCCAACCTAAACCTCCCTTGCTGCAGTTTTTCTCCCTCCTCCTTATGACACCCTTTTAGATACCTGAAAACGTCTATCATGTTCCCCCTCAGTCTTCTCTTTTCTAAACTAAACAAACCCAATTCTTTCAGCCTTCCTTCATAGGTCATGTTCTCTAGACCTTTAATCATTCTTGTTGCTCTTCTCTGGACCCTCTCCAATTTCTCCACATCCTTCTTGAAATGCGGTGCCCAGAACTGGACACAATACTCCAGCTGACGCCTAACCAGCGCAGAGTAGAGCGGAAGAATGACTTCTCGTGTCTTGCTCACAACACACCTGTTAATGCATCTCAGAATCATGTTTGCTTTTTTTGCAACAGCATCACATTGCTGACTCATATTCAGCTTGTGGTCCACTATAACCCCTAGATTCCTTTCTGCCGTACTCCTCCCTGGACTGTCGCTTCCCATTCTGTATGTGTGAAACTGATTGTTCCTTCCTAAGTGGAGCACTTTACATTTGTCTTTATTAAACTTCATCCTGTTTACCTCAGACCATTTCTCCATTTGTCCAGATCATTTTGAATTATGACCCTATCCTCCAGAGCAGTCGCAACCCCTCCCAGCTTGGTATCATCTGCAAACTTAATAAGCGTACTTTCTATGCCAGTATCTAAATTGTTGATGAAGAGAGACAGTCCCAAAACAGACCCCTGCGGAACCCCACTTGTTATACCTTTCCGCAGGATTGTGAACCATTAATAACTACTCTCTGAGTACGGTTATCCATCCAGTTATGCACCCACCTTATAGTAGCCCCATCTAAGTTATATTTGCCTAGTTTATTGATAAGAATATCGTGCGAGACCATATCAAACACCTTACTAACATCTAGGTATACCACATCCACTTCTTCTCCCGTATCCACAAGGCTCATTATCCTATCAAAGAAAGCTATCAGATTGGTTTGACATGATTTATTCTTTACAAATTCATGCTGGCTGTTCCCTATCTCCTTGCCACCTTCCAAGTGTTTACAGATGATTTCCTTAATTACTTGCTCCATTATCTTCCCTGGCACAGAAGTTAAACTAACTGGTCTGTAGTTTCCTGGGTCGTTCTTATTTCCTTTTTTTATAAATGAGCACTATATTTGCCTTTTTTAGTCTTCTGCCTTCTCCAGTCTTCTCCAGTTATGCTGACATAGGTTATGTTGTACAGACATACCAAAAATAGATTACATAAAGTGTATGTCAGAGTAAAAAAAGATGGAAAAAGGCAAGCTTTTTTTCTTCTAAACTTCTTCAGTTATGGTAATTTTAGAAGTTTTTTTTTAACAATAATAGATATATTTTCAGATAGAAATGTGATGATTTTTTTTTAATTTGGTTTGCTTTTGGAAAGGAGCCTTCATAATGACATGTTTGTTAATCTCTTCATTGAATTATTGTGTTTCTGATATGATCTGTTTTTATTCCTTTTCAGGTTTGGACTAAGCAACAAATTTGAAGCTGAATTTCCTTCATCATTGACAGGAAAGGTGAGCCTCTATGGATAAGAATCAGTTACAAATGTACTATAAGAGTCTCTAAAACTTAGAATTTGGGTAACAAGATTTTGCTACTAGAAAAGATTATTTGGGTTTTTACATGTAGTTGACTTTGCAGGAATACTCATCGTTTAAATTATACTGCAGTAGTACTGTATTTTTTTTTCCCCCTCACAGGTTGCACCTGAAGAATTTAAAGCCAGCATCAGCAGAGTTAACAGTTGTCTTAAGAAGAACCTTCCAGTTAATGTCCGATGGCTACTTTGTGGCTGCCTTTGTTGCTGCTGTACATTAGGTTGTAGTATGTGGCCGGTTATTTGCCTGAGTAAAAGAGTAAGTTGGACTATATTATCATTTGGCACAACTTGCTGTAAATTGTGATTTGGCTTTGTTTGTGTATTGGTTTTTTGTTCCTTTTCAAAACTCTGCATGTAGTTGTTGGGACCTGGCGCGAGACAGGACTGAGCCAGCATGCCTGATCGCTGGCTCTTAAACACCTTTAAGCGCTGAGCCACTTACGGGTTGATCATGTAACGGATGATATTGTTGTCTGCTACATGATTATCGAATTATATGCTTCCTAACATCCCTAGTGCAAAAGTGAATTTTACGTGCTTCAGTATGGAATTGAAGTGTGACACACAGGGTTGCCAGATAGTTTCACTAAAAATACCAAACATGGTTTGGGGGGGAGGGGGGGAAGGGAGTGGGAAGGGGAGAAGGGACCAAAGAAAACAGGGACCAAAGGTGTTGAGCAAAAAAAAGTCACCATGCCTTTAAATCCCCATGCTCCCTCCTCCCCCTACCAGACATGGCAGGGAAGAATGTTTCCTGCGGCCTTCCGTCTGAGACAAATAGAAAACACCGGACATTTTACATGTCCGGTATTTTCTGTGTTTTTTTTTTTTTTTTTTTTTTTTTTTTTTTTACCGGATAGAAGACGCAATTACCAGACTGTCCGGGCCCATACCGGACACCTGGCAAACCTAGTGACACATCACCTCTGTATTTGTGCACATAACACAATTGATGGGTTGGGGCTGAGAGGTGCAGCATGTGGGAGGTTGTCCAAACATTAATGAGGGAGGTTTGGTCATAACTGAGCTACTGCAAGCAGCATAACCTATTCAGGCCATCCATGTCCATCGGGACTTGTATACCCATTTCTCATTATGTACTGCCCTTACAAGGAGTAAATTAAATAGGCTTCAGAGTGAGGTATCTTTCTCATTAGCCTAACTCAGCGATGAACAACCAAGTCTATTGAGTGGTCCTCATGATTGGCCCCCAGATCTCAGCGGGATGCAAGACTGACATAACCAAGACAGTTAGTCTCCCTGGATAGGGTAGTTTTGCTATCTAGAACTTGTGGGATGTGCCAATAGCTGCACTTGATTGGATGCAGAGGGAGCACACAGTTTTTTCAGTCAACGTTGTATGTGATCAGCATTCACCTCAGCTCACATGCCTGTGCTTTATGTGCATGTCACTTTAGAACACCTGTAAGGGGGGGGAAAAATCTGTGTGAATGGAACACAATGGAATGTGGCAGTCCTGCACATGGACAACCCCTCACACTGGGGTATTATGTCTTCGAGGCGCGTTCTCAGGGTGGCAGATTGAGGAAGTCTTCCATGGAGTGAGCTTGAGGAGTTGCACTGAATAGTATGGAATAAAGTGCTGTGAACTACCAGTACCTAGAAGAATCAATACTTGATTTCAAACCAAGGCAGACAGAGCTTGCTAAGCCATTTTAGGCACATCTGTTTTGGGGTGCGTCTACATAGCACCCTAAACTCGAAATAAGATATGCAATTAGCGTTACGCAAATTGTGTATCTTATTTTGAAATTTGAAATAACCCTTGTGGACTGAGGGTTACAGTGATGTTGAAATAGCGTGCCCTTTATTTAAAAAATTATTTCGAAATGATGGGCAGCTTGTTAAGATGTGGGGTGGCTGTTTTGGGATACCTCTGGTATCCTAAAATAGCTGTGCAGTGTCAACTTACACTAGGAGAAAGATTCATGGAGGATAGAGGTGTCACTGGCTATTAGCCAAGATGCTTAGGGACTGAAGCCTGTGCACTGGGTGTCCCTAAACCTGTAACTGCCGGAAGGAGACAAAAGATGGGTCACTTGATAATTGCCTTGTTTTGGTAATACCGTCTGAGGCATCTAGCACTGGCCATTGTCAGAAAGCAGAGTAATGGGTTAGATCCATGATATCCAACCAGTCTGAAGCAGTAGCCAGTACAGTGGCTACTGCTGTAGTGAACTAGTCACACTCAACTGCCAAATAGCCACATGTGGCTAGTGTGTTGGTCACCAGGGTCTAGATGGATCATTAGGCTGACCCATGATGGCCTTGCTTATGTTCCTATTGTGTATCTGTCCATACATGTATTTTGACACTTTCTGGAGATTATTGTATCATCTGGAGATTACCAGCACATTTTATTTGTCAAAAGTTAATGAAGGGAATAGTATAGGTTGTACCTCCATACATCGGATGTTCCTGGACCACAGAGCCTAGGTATAGGAAGGTTGTGCCATGGGGCAGAAGCTGCAGTGAGGACACGGAGACTTAGCTGGGAGCCAGGGGGCAGGGCGCGGAGGGGTGGGTGGCGCAGCATGGAGCTCTGGCCACTGCGGCCAGGTGGTAGCGGGGGCCTGGCAGCAGCAGCTGTGGAACTCTGGCCCCGGAGCTCCGGCAGTGACGGTAGCCAGGGGCTCTGTCCCTGGCTGCAGAGCTCTGACTTCAGTGGCAGCCAGGTCCAGGCAGGCAGCTGTGGGGCTAGGCTGGAGCCCTAGCTGGGGGCAGCAGGACAGTATGGGCCATGTTGGGAGGGACCTCCCTTTGTCCAGCAAATCCCTTTGTACAGTACTAGTCAGGTCCTGAGGTTGCTGGATGAAGGAGGTCCAACCTATACTTTATATTGTCCACATGTACCTAAAATTTACAGTTGGTGATGAACTGATATTTGCATGAATTGTTTGCAAAGGTACAATACACCAGTAGATATGATGTATGATCTATAAACTAAAACAATAAGAATGTTGAAGAAGGTTGCAAAACAAACTATTTTGGGTTTTTTCCTGCTTTATATCAGACAGATGAACACACTTGTGTGGTTTTAGTGGCTTTCATTTTCTTATAATACAGCTTATATTTATGTCCTTGTACTGTTTACAACTATCTTAAAGAATTTTTAGGTTTTTTAATATTCTCAGTTGTGTACTGTATTTTTCTTTTATTCCCTATAACACCCTAAATGTTTTTTGGGTCTTACCAAGTCTCTGTTCTTCTGATTTCATGGTAGCTGCCATCAACAGTCACATGATAGAACAATCCTCTGACTTTTAAAAAATAATTTAAAGCAGGAAGGGCATTTTTACTAGTGGGTTCTTGGCTTGGGAAATCACTACCTTATCTTTGTAGTATCAAAGGCCAGTTTTGGTAAACTGCAGGGTACTCTTCAAAGACCTGCCTCTCTCCTTCCCCCAGGCTTTTTTGGGGAAGTAGAAAAATGAGTAAATGCTGAGTGAAGTTTTGGTAAATGCCCAAGGGAGTATCTTTTTATTTTGCAATCTTTTTTGTTGTTTTTTTTGTTAAATGATTACTTTTTTAAATGAAAGCATCTATATGAATATGAAATAAATTGCAAGATATTTAGTAGTATCTATCTCTTGTGTATTAAAGTTCATATGTATTTAAAAAATAACATTCTAAAGTTGACTCAGAGTCCAACATACTAAGAAGTCAATAAGGAATGCTACAATGTGAACATTATACAGTAAAACCTGTGTTAACCAGAATGCCCTAATTCCCGAGCTTTCCGGTTATCTAAAAATTCCGGTTATCTGAGGGTGTCATCAACCTAGGAAAAACCAATGAACAATAAGAGTAAAACTCAAGTTTTTAATATTGGTAGTTTTGTAGTGTGAGGAAGTTGGTGTCACATTTCTGTTTTCAGTTAAAGATTAGTACTACTTAAATAAAAAATTGTTAAGCCAATCATGGTAAACCAAGCCAAGCCGGTGGGCCTGAAAATATGACACTATTGTGATTCGGGGCAATGCCAGTTAACAAAGTTTTCTGGTTAACAGAGTGCCGGATAACAACGCTTTCACTGTCATAATTTTATGTATTTTGAATTAAAGATGTTAAGGACTTGTTGACTAGTCAATTCCCTCCACCCCCCTTGCTGTCTCCATCAGATAGAGGCAGCAAAGGGGGCGGGAAGGGGAGGTACTTCAAAGCAGCAGCCCCGGCGGAAGATCTGGTGAAGATGCTGGAAAACTTTTCATCACCAGTCCCACTGTAGGGAACAAGCGAATGAGTCGAGGTGGGCCAGAGATCCCTGGTTACACACAGCCGACCCCTCTGTGCAGGCAGCCTGTGCTGAAGAGGAGCCTGAGTCGGGCTGGAGCTGAAGGGGACTTTCCGGGGATGCTGTGGTCGAGGATTGCAAAGCATTGGCTGAACTGTATGGAGGAAACTTGCTTAGCACATGGTAACAGGCACCTCCCAGGGCCTTAGACCTCCTTGGAGTGAGGCTGTGGCCTGCTGAGTAGATGCTGGCAATTAGCACGCCCTTCTTCCCCGGCTTCCAGGCCCTGGAGACTGATCGTGGCATTTCAAAGGGGCAGCGCCGCATGGAGCCCAGAGTCATCCCCTTGTGGTGCTGCTTTGAAACGCTGAGGCAGAGTTTCAAAGGGCACAGCTGAGCCCGTGATCAGCTGTGCGATGCTGCCCCTTTGAAATGCCGCTGTGGCATTTTCATGGAGCCTGGTGTCAGCTGGACACAGAGATGGCGGTTCTGTGGAAACCTGGGTTCCGCGGAAATGCTGCAGGGAGCCCAGGATCAGGTGGGGAGACCCCAGATGACCTGGGCTCCACATGGCATTTCAAAGCAGCAGCTCAGCATGGAGCCCAGGGTCAGCAGGGGACTCTGAGTCCCTTGCTGACCCCAGACTCCATTAGGGCGCTCCCACTGGAGACTCTTGTACATTTCAAAACTGGCACCCGCATGTAGCCAGGAATCAGCAGGACTTCCCACTGGCCCGAGGCTACATGCAGAGTTCCGCGTTCCTCCTTTGAAATGTACAAGAGCCCCAGCAGGAAATTCCATTAACTACTCAACTAGTAAATTACGCAATATTTAACATCCTTATTTAGAATAAAGTTATATATATGTTTCAGTTTGGGTGATAGATATGCCTTTCAAATATAAGAACAGCCATTTTTTAAAAATATCAGTGAATTGTTTGCTGACTTTTTAAAGATCTTTTTGAATTAATTGTATGTTGGAATTATGCCTTTGAAAACTTT